AGGACTTTAGTGTGGTTTTGTCTTTGACCTTTCATGCCCCTGACTTCCTATAACCTGGTTATGGCCTCTAAACCCAAACCCTGGCATTAGCCTAATTGGATGGTTCTTCAGTCAACGTCTAGGCTCCAGCAAAGGGGTGGCTTGGACATTATATTATCGCAAAACACTAAATTCATGATTATTTTCCCATTAGAAAAGGGATTTCCGGTTGATACAAGGTTTCTCTCTCTTTTCTGGCATGTTCATTGGGCAATTGTAAGGATTTAGAAGAATTATCAGTACATGAGAGCCACATTGATTCCTCTACTATCACCCAGGACAATTTGGAGACAATTTTCTGTGTGTTCATCTTTAAGAGCAGATATATACAAAATTACCTTAAAGAAGTAGGGAGGAGAATATCAGGAGACTTGCCTGATTTACACTAAAGGTTGATATGGAGTAGTGAAGGATAAGTTTGGCTGGGAAGAGAGAGTAGGGTGAGGTTCTTAATATATGATTGAGGAGCTTGGCTTACACTAAGAAGGAAATGTTCAAATTTATGTTTCAGTCATAACAAACCATCCATTCACTGGCTGCCTTCCCTCCAAGAAGTTTTAGAGATGGAAGAGTTCTAAACCAAATATAGAATCCACTTGAGTTGCATGGATCCAATGTTAGAAAAAAAATTCACACTTTTAAGTGATTGATTATAGCTCTGAAAAAGATCACTTTTTGGTTCAAGAGGTAAGCACTTTTGGATTAAACCCTCATGAGCCCTGGTCAACCAATAACTCTTTCACATCTTAAACAAGTGTTCAGTGACTTGAAGATAAATCAGAAATGCATGCACTGCATCCCTTTCCTGCCCTCTCCCATAACCCTCAAATCAGGAAGGGAAGGAAATTATAGCCAGGAGGTATCTCCATTTGCCAAGCCCCAGATATTAGCAAGACAAGAGTCCACTGAAGACATTTCGTGAAACACCAAATACTATTTTTCCCAATCTCTGGAGAAGAGATTACTTAAAACCACCCCAGGCATGGAACAATAAGGATATATCCAACAATTTGATCATGCCACAGCCATCCCTCAGGCATCATTCACATGTAGGAAAATAGAGGCGGGTACACAGTAAAGGGAGGGGGACACGGGACCTTCCAATTGCAGTTTTCAGTCTCTGCCTGAGCATGTAGACCTGTCTGGGTTCAGATTTTGAAAGATAAAAAAAAAAAAAAAAAAGGTCACCTCTGCACATTTACTGCGTAAATTGCAAGCAACTGCTCAACAAATTCAATCTATCAATTTGTAGCAGAGAGCCAAGATTTCTACCATTTCCAAGGCTAAAGGGCTCCAATTAGCAAATCCCATAGTAAATCTTCCTATGTTTGACACAAAGTGAGTATGACAAGCATAAAAAAATACATGACTACTGTTTTCATTTAGGATGCTTCAGTTGATAAATTTAAGAGTTGTTTAATTCCCAATCCTTCCCCCCACCATTGACTTTGGTCATAAGTAACAGAGATTTAGCTGTTCTGGCATGAGAATACATATTTGTACTGTCTACTATAGATGGTAGACTTAAAACTACCCTCACTCAATGGAGAATACTTGGCAATATACTGGATGATATACAAAGAATCATCAGAACCTAAGAAATATGTATATCAAACAAAAGTTGGACAGGTATGGTGGCTAATGCCTGCAATAATCCTAGGACTACCAAAGTCCTAGGGAGGATCACTTGAGGCCAGGAGTACAAGATCAGCCTGGGCAACATAGTGAGACCCCACCTCTACAAAACTTTTTAAAAATTAGCTGGTGTGGTGGCTGATGCCTGTTGTTCTAGGTACTTGGGAGGCTGAGGCAGGAGGATCACTTGAGCCCAGAAGTTCAAGGTTGCAGTGAGCTATGATCCCGCCACTGCACTCTAGCCCAGGCAACAAAGCAAGACCCCATCTCAAAAAAAAAAAAAATTGCTTCTCAAAATTGTCATCTTGTGCAGGAACTTTTTTTTTTATGGCCTTTAGAGAAAGTTCACACACCACGCTTGAAATGCAGCCTTGTCACATCATGGTTATTCTTTGGTTTTGACCCAAAGCAGCATTACCCAGCTTGACTGTTTTCAAAGATCATCCTGACAGGATGAGTATTATTGCATTGGTAATAATCTACCCAAAATGCTATAAGCGATAAAGACAATCTCCAGAGAAAATTCTATAGCTATATTGAATATCATGATTAGAATTTGTACAAGCCCCTTCACAAAGTGAATACTTTCAAGAGAGCAACATTTACTTGACAACAGAGCTCTAGTATATTTTTGCTTAAAACTCTGACACTCGACTTTAAAGTCATACATTACAGAATCGTTGAGCTGGGGGGACAGTGTGGTTCAACCTACAGAGTTGGGGTAAAGCTTTAAATGGGTAGTCACTTCCTGTTTAGTAGAGACCTTTAACTTGAAATGCTGCCACTGTTACCATCACTTTCTAAGGGTCTTATTGAAGAGATGAAAATTATCTGGGCATCATATGTGTCATGTGCACTGGGAAATGTAAAAAATTATCTAAGGCATTGGAAGATGTTTGTTGATTTGGCCGTCAGCACCCCTTGGTGTGCCTGGGTCCTGGAAGCTCGGCGGGGACTAAGAGGTCAGGAGCATGGTGTACAGTTGCTGATATCAGTGGTATGTCCGGAAACAGCATAGAGGATGTTGGAGGTGGTAGGGAGGCTCCCAGAAAAGGGCTGATGGGGCACCAACGATATATATTTCTTGTTGCAAAATATTTATTTTGGTTAACTCCATAATGTTGACTCAGGAGGGCCAACAATTGCACAGATTTATATTTTTAAAATTTCTTTCTTTAATAGCTCTGAAGGTTAGAGATTTAAGATTTTCTTTATCCTCCAAAGGACTTAAAACACTATGTAGATTATGTAAACAGGGCTCAATATTAGAAGAAATATTCCTTTTGAGAATCCACCATTGATCTGCAAGTAGTCATTCATTTTCCAACAAATCCTACCTGTGCGCTGTATACCCTGGCGTCTGAAAACATGGGCTTCAGAGTAGGTCATCGGAATCCTGGCTCTGCTATTTATTATCTGTCTGACCTTGGGAATGGTATAGAACCTTTCTATGCCTCAATTCTCTTTACCTGTAACATGGGAATAATGGTATTTTCCTCATATAGGTGAAATGGAATACTGCAAGTAAGGGAGACAGAAGTCATGCCAGTTATAGAGTAAGTACTCAATAAATTCTAACTCATTAGTATCTCATTGCTTATAATTTCCATCTTATGGTGAGACATCTGGGCCCAGGGAAGGTAAATTGTTATGCACTTATCATACTGTTGGAAGAATTAGGGATAATTCTCTTTTATTTCTCCAATACCATTCAGGTTAGAATCTGGGACTTACTCTAACGCCTTTCTTGCATAAGAGTAGTGCTTGTTTAAAAATAACATTTTGGTTATTTATGGCTCTTCCCATGATAATCACAATAATAGTCAACTTAGTCTAGACTCTAGGTTGAGAATTATCTCATTTCATTCTTGATGTAACTCTAAGAGATATTATTATTACCCCCACTGATAGGTGAAGATACAGGCTTGGAGAAGTTCAGTGAGTTGCTTGCAGTCACACAGCTAGAACTGCCAGTGTGAGAATTTAACCTACATTCATCCAAATCAAAATGCCTACATATAGAATTAGAAAGTAGTTCTACAATTTGTTTTTAAATGATCCCAAAATTGCCTGTGTTTAAAAAAGGAATATTGTAAAATATATACATGACTCTACTCTATAATCCACAATTAAAAAAAAAATAACACTTCTTAAATGGATAAGAGCTGAAAGCTTTCCTGAGTGCACAGCTTGTAAACCCTCGCTGAGTTTAGTTTTCTCCTGGCCCACATTTAGGGCAAAGGTTAGACTGGACTTAGCCTGTGGTGTTTGTGGCATTCTTTTCTGGGCAGCAGCCATGAAAACTACTCTAGGAATGTTATTGGAATCACACTCTGCACCATCATACTGTCCTGACATACTGTTTTGACGTGTAATGTGCTGTCTTTGTGCTTGGACAGATAATGTAGGCCTGTCAAATTACAGGCACAGAGCAACACTCAAACTTCCTTCCTTCCAGGAAGAGTTTCTTCTTTCAAGTTCCCTGGGGATCAGGGCTTACTCACCAGTGTGTGCTCTGGAGGCACAGAGCTGTCTCTTCATATTGTTCATATTTGGGGCAGAATAAACCTGTTTTATGTTAACCAAAAGACATAAGGTAACCACAGATTTTTTTTTCTTCTGTGTAGTCATGACAATTTCATCCTTTAACTCTGAACTCAGGCATTACTTTCCTGAGGAAATTACTTCCCTGATTTCCCCTTGCTGTGTAAGATACTCAACCCCTGTGCTCTCATCTTACTACTCTTTCCACCTGGTATTAAAATGATAGTTTTAAAAGCCTATCTCCCTTTCCAGACTGTGCTTGCAGACAGGGATCCTGTCTTATTTTGGGCTGATACTCAGCCCACATTATGAAAGGTTGGTCACTTAGACATTCCTGTTGGTGGTACAGGTGTAGATTGATCATTTAATACTCTTAATATCACCGCCAGCCTTATTCCAACACTCAGTGTTATCACAACATCTTGCACATTGTAGGTTTTCAGAAAGTGCATATTGACTTAATGATGCATGAACATGGGGGACATATCAGAGCACAACTGGACGACTGGATATATCACTAAAGGCACGAGCTATAATGCAATATTCTGAATAAGCAAGAACCTTTGATCATCACAGATCCTAAGGACAATAGTACTATAAGGAAACACTAGCCCTTGCCTCTAGATGCCACAAATGAACTTTAAGAAGTCTTCATAGGAATCCATCAAGATCACTACTGTTTTGGTCATGCTCCTGTCCCAGCACAAACATAATGGTAACCAAAGCATAATGACCAAGCTAAGTGTTATCTGGGAACTCTGTTTGGAGTAGCACAGCCTTACCTGTCTGTGTTGTTGGGAGACTTGATACCCCAGTCCTGTGATGGGCTGATTCTGCATTTGCTGAAGCAGGATCTTTTGTTGAAGCGGCAAGGGGGACCTCAGCAAAGACTGGCTTGATAGAGGTTGGGTGGGCTGGGATGGTGGCTGTTGCTGTTGCTGCTGTTGCTGTTGCTGCTGCTGCTGCTGTTGTTGTTGTTGCTGCTGCTGCTGCTGCTGCTGTTGTTGTTGAGCTGAAATTGAGCTCTGCTGCTGCTGCTGCTGCTGAGTTGAAATTGAGCTCTGCTGCTGCTGCTGCTGCTGCTGCTGCTGTTGCTGCTGCTGCTGCTGCTGTTGCTGCTGCTGCTGCTGTTGCTGCTGCTGCTGCTGTTGGGTGTAGTGCAGGAGAGAAGGCTTGTTTTGGGAAGGTAAAACTGAAGGCATCTTCTGGCTTGCTTGATCTGAGTTAAAATGGAACAAAGGCTTGGTGTTGCCATGGCGGGGCTCCATGGCTGGGTGCGGGTTGTTAATAAAACTTCGACTGAGATCCTGAGGCTTTTGCTGCAGGAGCACATCCAGGTGCCCACCCTGGGCTGAGGGGCTGGCCTTGTACATGTAGTTAGACATGACTTTCGGCTGGCTGCTGCTGCCAGCTACCCCAGGCATAGGGGAACTCTGTGGGCTGAATGGCTGCTGACCAAAAGAAGGGCTGGGGATTTTCTCCTGCCCAAATGGACCTGGGGATGGTCCAGCAGAAGACGGCAGGGTTGACCAGTTGGTGGGCTGGTGCTGCTGCTGGTGCTGCTGCAGCCGGGCATGCTGCTGACGATTGGCAGCTATCTGTTTGAGCTGCTGGGCATGGGATACTTCCTGCCAGCTTGGCAGGGCCCGGCTTGCTCCTGAGGCTGTCTGAGGCTGAGCCTGGCTTTGAGGGACTGAAGGGATGGGGGATGAAGTGGAAAGGGCAGAGTTGGCCATGGAGAATGCAGGGCCAGCTGATGGGGGCCTCAACTGAGGAGAGCCTGAGGGGCCCTGAGTCAGGCCTGGTGAGTATTCACTTTTGATTGCTATTTTCTCCATGGGCAAGGAGGGCCTGGGAGTGCTCCTCTGGCTTTGCTGACCCAGGTCAATGTTAAATGGGTCATCCTGCTTTATGGTGGCATTGATCATGTTCTCCAGTTCAAGGTCACTCATGGGAGGCACAGATATGTTGGTCAGTTCATTGAACAGTTCCTGCAGCTCTGGATCCATCAGTTGCTCTCCAGAGTCATCTCCGTACCTGTTAGAAAACATATTCTCCTGGGTCATTTGGCCATCCATGTGCTTACTGCAAGACAGAGTCTCTCCTGGCTCCTTCTTCACCTCCTTTAAGCCCATGTTAAACATACCATTGCCGGGAGAATGTGTGTGGGGTGGCAGAGTGTTAGTCTTTCTCAGGGGTGCTTGGCTCATAGGCAAGGTCCCTGACATAAGCTGACTTTGTCCATTATTTACTTGGAGGCCACCTTGTCCTGCAGACAGATTCTCCCCGACACGAATTCTTTTGATATCAAGGAATGAATTGTCAACAAAGCCATTGGGCCTCTTGCTGTTGGCAGGAGACAGGTTAACTACCTGTTTTCTTTTCAAGGAACCCTGGAGCTGAAAGACAGAGGGGAATAAAAAAGAAAAATATGATATATTAACTTGGTTGTGCTTCTAATCAAAAGTGATATAATACTTAAATATTTCCTCCTTTTACACACAAGATGCAGTAAAAAAAAAAAAAAAGCACAAATGAAGCACAGTCTGAAATATAACAAAACTCACAGTAGGACAAGAAGAACAAAATAAAATGTTTTCGGAGAAGCGGATCAATTAGTTTAGCAATCACAGTAGTTCCCATGGTTGGTACATAGATCAATGGATAAAGAATCCTTCAAATATCATAAGGGGTTACTCACAATACCTAGATTAATAAATAATAAATCACTAAAGCATTGTTGTTTTCTGGAACAGGCCAAAATATTCCACACGCATGCACACACAACTCCCCGCAGCTACAGGTGATCGGAGTGTACACAATTTTGACCAAAATAGGAAATACTGAAAAGTCTACGGTAGGGTCAAAATTTCCAGTTTCTTCTTTCATGGATTCCACCTCTTCATCACTATTATCCTCTACATAAGTAATTAGGATAGTTCTCAGGTCCAAGAAGATATTCTATCTATTGTTCACCTATTTATTTTCCTATAATCCCACTGCTTTGCATTTAGGCCTGCGTAGCAACATGGTGTGGATGCACAGAAGCCATGAGATTATCCTTTACCAAATGCGACACTCTGCGCACATATTTTCCTGGGGATTCACTTCTTCTGTTGCCTGTCTCCAGATCTCGTAATCAAAACCAAGATGTGGAGAGGCAGTACTGCGCAGTTGTTAAGAGCTCAGGCTCTGGGAGAAGACAAAGCCAAACTCAAATTCCAATTCTGTGCACTGTGTGACCTTGGTAATTCGCTTGTCTGAGCCTCAATTTCCTAATCCAGAGAATGGGGACAATAGCACTTAACTCCTAGGAAGACACGAAATAGTGCATGTAGAAGTTTAGGAAGTGCTTGCTGTAGTAACAACTCAATCAACAATAGTTGGCAGAAAAAGTATGCCTTGCTACATTCTGAAAGGGGAGCATGTTTCTACACAAGCATCATGTTTAAGTATTTCATGAGTGTTAAAGTACTTCATTCACTAATTCAGCAATGAGATTGTACTTTATGAACCTTAAAATTTATAGAGAAAGGCTAAAGGGCTATGTAGCCACACCAATAAATTAATAAGAAATATAAAACATTTATCATTGGTCTGCAAGTCCTTGTTGATTTGTCTCTAAAGTGAGAGACTGTCTCTCTCAAAATGTGGCTTTCCCAGTGCTTCTGACTCACTCAAATTATTTAATGTTTGCTCAGGATAATTGTAAAATATCTGAGGCAGAAAGATATTTCCCAGATAGAAAATTCTCCTTTCTTCTCTTTCCCTTTTTTGCCACTCCCTCACCTTCCTGAAGATTTCTAGGTAGCCTAATTAAGAAAAGGAAATTAACGTAATTGAGTATATATTATATGTCAAGTACTTTAAATATGGTTACTTTATTTCCCTTAATCTGCACAACAACCCCATTAGACAGGTATTATTACCCTTATTTTATAGATAGGGAAATCAAGGCTCAGAGAAGCTAAGTAACTTGCCCAGGGTCACACAGCTAGTATGTAGTAGACCTGTGCTTTAACGAAGGGTCTGTGTGGTTCTAAAGCCTGTGTTGTTTCCACTCTATGATATTGGAATTAGCTTGTTTAAGGGTAGGGTCTCCTTAGCTCGAAGAGGCCAGAGGCAGTGAGCACAGAGACATTCTAGATCTCAGGTAAAATGATGAGGAATCTGGGAATGGCCAGGATGCAGCATAGGACCAAATGTGAATATATGCATCTTGTCATCTAGCTCGTCCATACCTGTTTCACTCATCCCTTATCTGTGGTTTTGCTCACTCACAGGGGGTATATAGTTATGGTGGATGTGCCATGTAGGTATAACAGGCTTAACATTTTACCGTTGCTGATTCGTAATCAGAGAAAGGAACCTGACCCAAATCAGGCCAATCAGTCCTTCCCTGCCATGAGAATTCTAGATTAGTAAAAGGTGAGACCGGGCTCTCTTTGGATGGCTATATAGTGATTTACAAAACTTGTGAGCTGTTGTTCCATTGTGTCAAGCAGAGCCATAGAGGAAGTCTTTGATAAGTCTGAAGAAAAAAAGAAGAATGAAGCAGAGAAGAGAGACACATGTTTTGATAGCATTTTGAAGCCTGTTTCCAATCCCAGGTCAGCTCTGCCTTTCTCCTTGTTTATTTTAATACACTGTGGAATCTTATAATGAATTTTCTTTTTTGCTTAAGCTAATATGAATTGGGCTTCTGCTACTTTCAACTGAGAGTTCTAACCAAGTCCCCTGAGACTTCACATTCAGCGATGAGCAATTTGTAGCAAGGGGCAGGGCATACTGGGAATGAAGCTTTCCCCTACTCCCATCTCTATTGTCTCTGCATGATTCGCTGACTCCTAATCTTGTCTACTCACTGGTGCACACAACGTCATCGTCACAGAACACTGTCAGCCATCACCACATTCAGCAAAAACTCAAAGTTACCACTATCTACCCTCTTGGGTCAGGAAAAGCACATACCAGAGAGATTCAGCCATGTTCCTTCTGATTTGTTTCAGCATAGGGTTCTTTTACAACTGGTAAACACATAAAGGAGCACACTCTTTTTCCAGGTCTGGGTTATCACCTTTGATTTATTTTCCACTGCTTTGAAAAAACCTGTTCTGCCAGATTCTCCCATTGCTCTGGCCACTCCCTGGGCAGTGCCACACACACTCTGGAAGCACTAACACTGTCTTTAGGCCACCAGAATCATAGAGGCAACAACAGAATTAGCGATAGTTGCAGTAGAAGTGATAATAACAATAATAACAACAAGAGAGTCATTTATCGAGGGTTTGTGTGCTAGGCATTGTGCTAAGCACTTTGTATGGATAATCTCATTTAATTCTCACAACAACTTTAAGGATCTTTCCAACTGTATAAGGTTAATACTATTTCTGCTCCCTCCCCCATTTTGCAGATGAGAAAACTGGGCTTTAGAGATTGGGTGACTTTTCAAGGTCACACACAGAGTAAGCAATGAAGCCAGGAAGCAAAGCAGGCATTCCTGCCGCAGAGCCTGCACTCTGCAACAGACGGCACCCTAGCCCTGACCGAGGTCAATGGTACCCACACCCATGTCTGGAGGAAGCCTGAGATGTAGTCCTGATTATTCTGTCATTAACTTGCTTTGCTACTTTAGTGAAGGTATTCCACTTCTCTGGGCCGTAGTTCCCCTCTTTATAAATAAGATTATTTCTGAGATTACTTTCCTGCCTGAACCCAGAAAATACCAAGCACTGAGGCAGTGAGGTTTGCTTTTTAGCACTATGTGTGGTGGTGTAAGGTGTCCACCAAGCACATCTGGAGGGATGACTTAAGATCGGGAACAGAAGTGATGTGTGATTCCATTAGGATAAAAGAAATCCCATTAGAACTGCATTGGGCATGATTCTTTCCAAGAGAATTCTGGGGATAGGCTGTGCCTTGCCTTCTAGGAGCTTCTAATCATAGTCATATCACCAAGGCCCACTGAATGTCCACATGCAGTAGGCCCCACGCTACGGCACAATACAATCTAAACGATTCTCCAAGTTCACTCTCTGCTTTGAAATATTTCCTTTGCTGGACTAAAGTTCTTCCATCTGCTGTATTGTTTTGAATTATAGTGTAGAGTTTCTCAAGATGCAAATACTCTAGAAACAGTAGAGGAGGAACATAGTCACTATTACCTCAGTGAGAAACAGTTTATCAGAAAATTCAACTTACCAGAACAAGAATAAAGCCCTAAGGGAACAAGACTCAACCATGTGAATGACGGGGAATGAGGACTGGATTTAAATGGAAAAGGGTGGGGCAGGCCTAGTTGGCAGCGCCACACTGTGGACCTTTTGGTGGGTGGGGGGAAGGTAGAGGGAGGGGTCCCCAAAACAAATCCCTCACCCGGGGCTGACTTACCCATTAGGCACAGCAGACACAGTGTGCAGGGCCCATGATAGTCTTAGGGGCCCATAAAAATGTATTATTAATGTATTATTTTAAAACAGGAAAATATGGGCTTTTAGGGTAAATGTTTTAATATATAACATTAATTTATTTATCTTTATGCCAACACAGTCATAAAACATAATTTTTAATATTTTTTCAAAGAAGAAGGGGCCCTCAAAGGCAAGAGTGCCTAAGGCCCGTGGGAGGCTCTCGCTGTGTATTGAATGCTTATTTTAGACGCGCACTCGGTGGTATACAGTCTTGTTTAATCTTCTCTTACAGCTCTCTGAAGCATGTATTCTTATCCCCATTTCGTAAGTGAGGAAAATGAGGCTTCAGACATTAAGATTACACGGTAAGGACATGGAGGCAGGAGGCCAGCCCAGGTCTGTCTGGTTCCAAAGTCCTGATTCAGAATCACTCACCATGTTGCTTGCTTCCCTTACAGACTTCACCTTGGCACATGCCGATGCTCAGCTGGACACAGTGGACCCAGACGGCCAGGACAAAAGGCCAATAGAAGGAAGATCCATTGTATGTGTAGAGCAGGGGTGAGGGCATTTGGGAAGCAGAGGGATGGTGGCAGGGAGAGAACAGTGACATCATTGGTGGGGGTTGATGGTGAAAGCCTAGGACATCATCCTCAAGGCTCCAATATAGGAAAGGGAAGAGACAAAGGGTCATTCGGCCAGTCAAAAAGATTTACTAAGCACTCAGAGGGAGTTCTGAACCATGCTCCATCAAATCATCCCTGGCATGAGGGAAAATATGCAGATGATTAGGCGAGTGGCAGGATGTAAAGGTTTCCAATCAGCACTGCATCTCAACATCTCCACTTTGCCCGTGCCCTAGATGGACTCAGAGGCATTTTTTGGTTTCCATGATACATCTGCACCCCAAAATTATATTTAATAATTTGTGAGATTGTGCATTTAATATCATCCTTTCACTAGCCATCTCAGGAAGGTGCTTCTCTCGG